AAAAAAAAAAATAAAATGAGTGAAAGACATAATTAATCTTGATACTGGTGATTTCCACTGCAGTGATAAAAATAGAGATAGTAAGTACATTGACACAGACCTTGAAGAGTGAAGAGAATGTGGGCAGCAAGCAGTTACTAGAGCTGATACCAATTATTGTTATGCCAAAATAAATTATCTATTTTTTGGTAGATTATATAGCTGAGTTTATCTAGCACTGAGATGGGAATTACCTCTGCTTCATGACACACCATACAGCAGGGAATATTTGGCTTTCAAACTTGTTGACATAGGTGCCATGTACCTGAGCGTGATATGAGATGCTGAGGGTCAGTGTCTGCAGCTCATGCTGCTTTCCATCTCCACCAGTCCTGTGCTGAAGTTCTGTACCCTCGCTGGTCCCGGAGATGTTGGGGACTCTGCTCTTGGGGAAATTGTAATATGGAGAAGAATGTTCCCAAGGCACAAGACAGCCCATCAGAGAAGGGGGGGTCTCCCAGCCAAGGAGATGTGCAGGTGTGTCCCCGGCACCGCGGCGCCTCGTCATGGCTCTGCCCCTGACAGCTCAATGCATCTGCTCCTGCCTCAGAACAATTTGGTGTCAGGTCGCTCCGCACTGTTTCATGGACAGCACAAACAGAATCACGCCTGAATGCAGCTGAGACATAAGGGCCTTCCCACCATACACCCACCAATGCTTCATTGCCCCCACTGCACCCTGCCATCTGCACCCGTGTGTACTTTCATCCCTTGTTCTACTCTGCATTGCCTGTTCTATCAGAGACAGTGCTAACAGTGCTTCACGTGACAGAATACATGCTGTTTTATACATCAAGAGAGTAACCCACATAATTTACTGTATTTACCTTTTAATCCATCTATTGATTACTGCTGTCAGTTACTACTAGAGCAAGGAACAGCTCTGGTACCCGCAGTGTGCTCATAGGAGTCACCACTACCACATGGGTTTGCAGTAGTTGGGTGTGCTTTGAACCATTGAGAGTCATGGCAACTGGATTTTCCTTTTGCTGGGGCTTTCTCACTTTGAGTCATACGGTTTTACATCAGCAGTTAATATTAATCCTGCTTTAGTATGTGGTAGGAAAAAACTCTGTCTGTATTGTGACTGTCAAAACTGCTTTCATAATGAAATAAAAACAGATTGATTTTACAAAATGAGAATTATCACTGTATCAGAAATTAACTCTATTTTTAGGGATGAAGTCTGAAGTCTGAATCACAGAATAGTTTGAGTTGGAAGGAACGCTTAGAGACCAGCTAGTCCAACTCTCCTGCAACAAACAGGGATACCTGCAGGTTGATCAGGTTGCTCAGAGCCCCGTCCAGCCTGACCTTGGATGTCTCCAGGGACACCATCCATCACCTCTCTGGGCAATCTGTGCCAGTGCTTCACCACCCTTATTGTAAAAAACTTATTCCTTGTGTCCAACCTAAATCTCTTTTAATTGAAAACCATTTCCTCATGTCCCGTCACAGCAGACTCTAGCAGAGTCTGTCCCCTCCCATTTTACAGCCCCCCCTTTAGATATTGATAGGACCTGATACAGGTCTCCCCGGAGCCTTCTCTGCTCCAGGCTGAACAGCCCCAGCTCCCTCAGCTCTTTGTTCTTATTTTCTGACCTTTGGGATCAGGAAAACATTTCTAGAAAAAGCTACTCTGACTATTTCAAAAGTGGATCTCCTGGGAGCAATATTTTTGGTGATTTCTAGTAAACACGATTTAAAAAAAAAAAAAAAAAAGACTGCAGTGAAATCATAAATTTATTAATAAATGCTTGCCCATCATTTTAATTGTTGTTTTATACAGACATTTTCAGCAGATTGAAAAAAGAAATAGAAAGAAAGAAAAAGACATTCTGGTGGTACTCTACAGAAATACTACAATGAGTTCTGTTCAGAGGATCTTTGAGATTGCTTACTACTAAGATTTCTCTGACCGTCCACAGTACAGTATTGTAGCTTTCATAG